ATTGCTATGGTGGATGCGAAAGAAGTGTACTTGTAACGTCTAGATAATCAGATCCATCCGAGTCACTTAGGGGTTGAGGGGGGTCCCCTTAATTTCACTTTTTTCTTTCCATTGACGTAGGCGCACCAGTGTCCTGAACCTGAGGTAGGTTTTCTGGGCTTGTGAGATAGAGCCCAGCTATAAGCTCCTGAAATAGACACCTGAGCGAAGTAGACTAACGAGAAAAAGGGAAAAACCTCTTAACTTTCATCCTTGCAGGGTTCCTATTTCCCTCCTATGAAAGGCAAAGCCGTAACGTAAAGCACAAACTCAACAATAATGAACAGCTTTTACTTCTTTCTTGTCACCATTGCTAGACAAATGTATATGGATCAGCCCAGAGACGAAAAATGCGTCCTTTTGAAGGTTTTCAACGCAAGGCTATTGTAATTTGTCCCACGGACGAGGACTTAAAAGAGCGAACATTAAAGCGAACTGATGAGGAAGGGAAGGATGTGCCAGATCATGCGGTTTTAGAAATGAAAGGTAGGAGTTCTTTGGAAAAAATAACAACACTTGACTCGCTAGCGCCCCCCTAGGCAGGAGGTATGAAACGCCCAGGAGGTACGTTATTCAGGTGTATGTGAATTCTGAGCAGGGCAAAAAAAGCAATAATTGGGCAAATAATCTGCCATTGTGCTTGTGAAATTGCCCCTGTGGGGTCCCCATCCAGGGTATATCCCGCCCGGCACCCTTTGCTCCCTGGTGACCCTTCAGGGGATGAAGCAGTAAGAAATCGGAATGATGGAAATTCCATATCCACATTGTAATATAACATACGTGCCTAACTACACAACACACCAGTAACAACATTCCCACCTGTGCTACAGATAAAGACAGAGAACAAGCAAAGTCATGTGCTTCAAAGTTGGTGAGGTCTCGGTCCCTCATCAAAAAAATCAACTTCACACAGTCACAACCACCGCTATTAGAAAATTACATTTATTTTACAATACAACATTTAATTTACATTTGTTCAAACATCCAGCACGGGCATCAATCCTAGTTATTAAAGGGAATCACCATTTATAAACTTTCTCATCAGCATGGAGGGCTAAACTCACCTACTGTCGAACCCCTGGCACTGCCCCGACGACTGCCCCTCTCCGTGTGCGCTGTGCTTGAGTGGGCAGGGCCGTCAGGCCTTGTGTGTGTGGATTCCCGTCCACAACGGGAAGAAGAACTAGGAAGGTGACCCCAGCAGGATGGTAACTCTGGGTGACGACGTCCCCACTGTGAAACTCGGTTTATGTCAGGTCTACGTCAGACCCCACAAAGACAGGGGCACAAGCGTGTGTGTAAGAGAGAGAAAATATGACCGAACACTTGGCATCACTCCTCTGATGTCATTTTACCTTTGCTGGACCTCTCTGAATGGCTTTAGTTTGCAGCCAGAATACAGCAGCTTGTGCAGCACAGACTAGACCAGCCTGTTTGGAGAACCCCAGTATAGACTGGCCAAGCCAGGGTACTAGAGAAACCCAGTATGGACTAGTCCAGCCCACTGTAGACTAAATCAGCTTGGAATGGGCTAGAGTGGCCCTTTACCGACACACATGGGTCTCCGAGAGCTCAGTACCTCAGTATGATCCAGACGAGTACAGAGCGCACCGGTTCTGTACAGAATGGACCAGCCCACTATAGATGAAACTGGCCAGTACAGGATACACTATTCTAGACGTATAGATTATAGCACCCACTATAGGCTACACCCACCCCGGAGGGATGAAAGCACTATACTATAGTGGTAGCATCGATTATTCCAATACAGAAACTTTCTTCATAAACCACCCCAGTTTGGTCTGGGCCCTTTCTTTAAAAGCTGCATGAGCCCACTGAAGACCAATTTAGCTCATTACAGACAAAATGGGCCTATTAAAATCCGGCCCTGTACGGGGTAGAACATCCTCATGCAGACTAAACCTCTTCTGTTCAGCCAGGAGCAGTCGAGTGCAGACTTCTCCAGTCCAGCCTGGTAAGGACTAAACCAATCGAATACTGAAAATGCCAAATCCAGCAGAGACCACAGAAACAAAGCAGAGAATACACATCTTCTCAGCGGTGAAGAAAACAGGAACAGTTCAGACTCGCATTAGCACTGCCTGAACTGGCCCTGTCGCGGGGTGAAAGAAGAGTCAGAGGGGTCATTCGAGAGAAGTGTGGAGGAGGCTTCTGGGACAAGCGAGCTGGCAAGACACTCTCCTCTCGCGTCCGGCCTCTCCGTGACCTCCAGTCCTGTCCCATCATGCTCCAGCACACCAGAGGGGGAGAGCGCAGGGAGTGGCGGTGCTGTCCGGCCGCGGGTGCCCTCCCGCTGGCTACTTGCCGGGGGTGCTGGGCAGGGAGAGCAGCAGCCTGTTGACCTCCCGCAGCTGGGCGTCCAGCGTCTCGGAGGCCAGGCTCAGCTCGGCCACCTGAGTCTGCAGATCGGCGAGCGTGTGGTTCAGCTCCTCCTCCTTGCGCCGCGTGTTGGCGCTCTGCCGGGCGTACTCCAGCACCATGCAGCCCCCGCCCACCAGGAAGATGATCGCCTCCCCCAGGAGCTCCGCCCCCAGCTCGGCTGCCGCCTCCTCGTTCAGCGGCTTGATGGTGGCACCTCGGAATCCCATGATCCTCATCTTCGTCCGCATCTCAATCCAGTGGTACACTGGGCACACGGAGGGGGGAGTTAGAGAGGAGAGAAAGCCACACTGGAGCATCCAAGCGAGACAGAATTCATTCATTCATCTGGTGATGAGGGAGTGTTAATGTGAAACTGCAGATGACCAGACTGAGAGTCTTTACAGTATCTACAGGTCTGATGATGATGAGTGTTAATGTGAA